TGTTCATAAATAATACGTGTCCGTGAATTTGTATCACTTGTTAGTCCACACAAGAAGCCAGTTCCGTTGCGGAACGTTGAATTTCGTTTTCCGGTTGCGTTTTGCTCAACACCCGTTCATTGTACCTGCGACAAAAGAGAAAAATCGTAAACATAAAAAACGTAAAACTAAAGAGGTCTGAATGTACTCAAAGTGATTCCCAACTTCGAGACGAAGTATTGTCACCTTCTTAAATTAAATGAAGTAGTGAATTAGACAATATATATCAGTAAGTACTTTCGCATACTTTTCATCGCAATTAGCGATCATAAAAAAAAACATTTTAACGAAATGCACTCACACAGTAATAATATACATTATTATTTAATAAATATTTAAAACCACATTTCTCTCTCTGTGTAGTTAGAACGTATTTAAAGTAACAACGATTCTCTTAAAACAAATAAATTTCTATGAAATTATAATATTAAAAATAAACAGAACATATGTCTGTAAACCGAAAATTAAAATATCGAATCAAACGTATAAGCTATACTAAAACTTCTAAATGCGAATGAACCATTAATGAGTGAATTATGTACGTATGTATACAAAATATTCATTGAAGTGTGTGAAGTGTGAATCACAAGTGAAGTGATTTGTAAAAGACTTCTGTGTATATGAAAATATGAAAAAAAAACCTAGAAGTATAACTTCTCCGCGTCTACGCACTGACTGGAGCACAATTCATACGTTAAACTTACCCAAGCATAGTAATATCATAATTTACTGTATTTAGACAGTTCTGAAAAATAAAAAACAAGGAAAATGGTCCTATATTTATTTTCCTATATACTTTATTTATCCATTTCTGTTTAAAGTGATAATTAACTTATCGATGAAAATATGGCACGAAATGTAAAAATAAACTTACTTTTACGTTTCAATACATTTCAGACGATATAATCTTTGTTTTATATTTTGTGTAGTAGATATTGTGCCAATATTAACATTTTGGACTAGTGAAAATGTTAATAGATAGCTAAAACTTTGTAGTTACAAGTATTAAATAAATAATAATGAAAAATAATGTAATAATTATTTATTCTTCAATAATAATAATAAAATATTATATAGCGAGTCTAAAACTGAACAGAAGATGGGGATTAAACCATAGAAGGTTGATGCATATATTTCGGAGCGCTTAGTCGAATCAAGGACTTAACTGATCTGTTTACCTTGTTATATATTTAATTTTAATTAGAATAAACAACAAACATGAAAACATGTTTTTCATTTAATTTTGCACAATGCAGATGCAACTAATCATTTTTTGAGTACAACACCACCTATATACTAAAAATGTAATTTCCTTTATCTTTTAGATTTTTCTATATAGACTTTCTACGTACTTTATTATTTTACTTTTTAGGTGCTCGCTTTTTAACGAGTTTGCTTCTCAATTACAGGTTTAATAGATTAAGTAAGATATGATTGATTCAATTTCCATTTAAATTCTTATTTATGTTAACAGATAGGTATAGACATTAGAAAAAATTAGTTAAAATTCGTTTTAAATAAACTAAAAACAATGGAATTTAAATTAAGCCAAACACAGTTCAATAGATAGTCAGAAACGTAATTTATATTTAAGTTTTAAAAGAAACTGTAATCAAGCATCCAGCAAATCATACATTTAGCACAAAATATGCGCCGTGAATTCCCGAATGTATGTTCTAAAAATATATATTATTATAAATAAAATTACTGGAATATACTAACGAAGTAATACTTATATTATATTAAATAAATAATAATAATATTATCATTACTAAGTTTTACATATGAATTGTGCTCCGGTCAGTCCAGCTTAATATATTAATATATATTAATATGTATTATTACCTATCTGCTATTTAAATTAACTTTATTGTATTTACACAGTTAAAATTTTGATATAATTAATAATAAGCACTATAAAGCATTTACTTGAATTAAAAACTAATATTTCATTAAAACGCCGGTTCGTTGTAATTCTATTATTGATAGTAAAAATAGGAAAAAAAGAAGTTTATTTTCCAAATTGATCAAAATTATTCCTTTTTTCATTAAAACAAAATTAACGTTACCGTCTATTTGTTTTATTATAAAACTAATATTTCTAGGACCCATTAAGTTGAATTTGATCTTACGTAATAAAACAATAAGCTAGCTATGTTTAGAGAAATTATAAAGATGTAAGTCAAAATAAATAACTTCACATTTCGCTTTGAAACTTGAAGCGAAAAAATATATTTGTTATCCACAAATAATACTACCTGACCTACTGTAAAACAACCCGAACTTTTACGTTAAGCCATTGTAACATAGATAAGATTATTGTTGGGCACAGAATCCGGACGTATTTGACAGATTACCTATTTTTATCTCGTATTTTGCGTACTCTTCCGCTTTTAGGGAATTTTTTGCGCATAAAATTTTAGCTGTAAAATAAAGCTTTTATTAACTGGCTACTGCTGATCTTAACGTTTAAAGCAATTATTTTCCTCGCTTTTACATACCTACATATAGGCTATAGATATTAAAGTAAAACCCACAAATAAACGCGCGCACACACACACACATTTGTTATGTATAATTGGTAGTATTGTGGTATATAAAGTGCTTTTATGGAAGAGTGGAGTCTCCTAGTACAGGCTTGCATGCTTAAAAGGAGACTCCAATCATTGTAGTGTTTTGACTTGCTTTAGAAAATAAAGTATTTTTGTACTTTTTTACATATACATTGGAAAACATTACGATTATCATTAATAGAATTTACTACAATAGATAGTTGTACAAAAAATATAGCAATTAGAATACAATACTTTATTGGGATCGACTGTAATCTTTTGGCCGATCTTTATAACTCGAACGCAAAGTTCACGAAGCCGCGTCACATACATACAACACGTATGTAGGTTACGTCCACAAAATATTACAACCGCAAAAGTTATAGCCTTACTAGCCATAAAAAAGAAATCGTATATTGTTATTAAATGTGCTTATGAAAACAACACTAAAATTTTAAATTACCCATAACGTGCACTGCGATTCGGCCAAACACAATCCGAGACATAATAAACAAGATTGTATATTTTTCGTTGTTTTATGAAAGTCTATAGTGTGCTGAAACCTAATATATTTATGGATTGTTACGGCGGCGATTTCAGTATGTATCTACTATATACATAGACACGCGTTTTCCGCAGAATTAGTACTGAAGAATATATCTAAACAAATTTATTCTATATCTATTATTGGTGGTAGGACCTCTTGTTAGTCCGCACAGGTAGGCACCACCGCCCTGCTTATTTCTGCCGTGAAGCAGTAATTAATGCGTTTGAGTTTGAAGGGTGGGGCAGCCGTTGTAACTATATTGAAACCTTAGAACTTAATAATTATATCTCAAGGTGAGTGGCAGCATTTACGTGGTAGATGTCTATGGGCTCCAGTAACCACTTAACACAAGGTGGGCCCGTCCACACATCCATGTAATAAAAAAATAAAAATCTGATTTTTACTAAAAATATTACTTTTGTGTTACATAGCTCTATATATTTTATTTTATTCTTTGTATTTGAAATATATCTCTTCAAATCTTAGTATAATTCAAATATAAATAATAAAGATCGACTTGTAGGTGTATAGTCCCTACTAAAAGTTATAACATTCAACCCATTAAATAAATTTTTTAATTCATATTGTAAAATTAACATTTAGATGTACTGAAATAAAACACCCAAAAAGAAAACAAAATTAAACCGCATAGTTAGTAATTATATTTTAGATATCTTTAAATCACATACAAATTACTCTCAGCCGATGAACATCTTCGTTGCATAGGTACATTTTGAATGTTAAATTTTTTGTACTAAATGAAACAGCACTTGGTCACCAGATGGTCAATTCTGTTGTTTGACGGATAGAATCCAGAAACAACAGACAAATGTACACAGTTTTATCACTTCCGAGAGCTTCACATTCGTAAACAAGCACACGGTTTAGCTTATAGTCAAACGACATTAACTTTGATGTCATTATGGCTTTGTAAAGTGTAATGGACCTGATTTTATTATTGTTCACGTGCTGTTCGCGGTTGTTTGCGGCATCTAAAGCTTTTAATGATTAATTAATGAAGATGTGCTTTTTACAATCGTATTTTTTTGTTTAATCTCTATATATAAAAATGAATTGCTGTTCGTTAGTCTCGCTAAAACTCAAGAACGGCTGGACCGATTTGGCTAATTTTGGTCTAGAATTATTCGTGGAAGTCCAGAGAAGTTTTAAAAGGTAGATAAATATGAAAACGCTCGGAATTAAATAATAATAACAATTTTGTTTTTCCTTTGATGTGTCCCCCGTCGGACGGATTCTTTTGTTTGTTTTAAGTTTATTTTATATGAAAATTTAGGTTTTTTATTTATCGATTGAGGCACTACGAAGTCTGCCGGGTCAGCTAGTTACTTAATAAAAATTAGTGTATCTGTTGTTATACACTTTCATTGTCTTTTACGGTTCTAATTTTTAAGGATTTTGTATTATTATTTTTAGATTTTTATTTATTTTCGTTATTTTTATCGTATGTGTATCGAAGGGATCTAACTCTGTATTCGTAGATGGGAAGTTACAACATACCTATAGGTGTAATCGAAGCGGGAGGCGGCAGGGTCGGCCGCCGATCTGTAAACAGTGGTTATCGACGCGCCGCCACTTGCCTTCGTGGCATCTCCGGCTAATGCTCTATATTTATCCGCGCTGGAACTGACGCGTGCGGCTAAATCCGTTCGGCGCCGTACGATGTCGGCTTTCTGCAACGACAACATCGTCACGAAGCGTCCCTAGGCACCACGGGTCCGTCCATTATCACGAGGACCGGATCCAGTGCCCAACTCGCCCAGCGGAATTCGCTACCGCAAAAAAATGTCGCAAGCGCAGCAAAAGAATAAAAATATACAATAGCTTACCTGAAGTATTTCACTTCAATAGGACTTGTGTGCCGGAGCGGGTGCAGCAGCCACACACGCCTGGTGGTGGTAGTAAGACGGCGCCGGCGTGCGATAGTGGTGATGCGGCGGCGACGCGCGGTAAGCTTCCGGCGGTGGCGAGCCTCCCCGAAACCCAGCCAACTGACAGCTTGGTGGTTCAAATAAATCACGAAAAGCCGGCGGGAGTTGCTCGGCCGGAGGCTCGGGTGCTGTATACCATCCCGATGTGGCTGCACGAAAATCTTCTGCCGCTAAAGAATACGGCTGCGGAGAACAGTACACCGCAGACGGCGGCAATCTCGGTTCATTGAATTCGTCAATCGAATCTACTGGCTTATCGTATCTTGTGCATTCTGCGCCGGGTTCCCTCTTCGGTCGGCACTCAAAAATCCGTGGTTTTACATCAGGTTTGACGTCACGTTGCTGTCCGAGAGCATCAGCTGCCGATAACGCTTCTTGTGCGGCGAGCGCCTCCTGTGCTTGTTGAAGTTGCTGTTGTCGCTTAAGTGCTTCTTCTTTTTCCTTTAAAGCATCTTTTTTCTTGAAACGGCGCCGCCGCCTTAGATATGAACCGTTATCGAACATGTTATACGAATCTGGGTCTAATGTCCAATAACTACCTTTACCAGGTTTTTTATCGTCTCTGGCTACTTTAACAAAACACTCGTTGAGGCTTAAGTTGTGTCTTATAGAATTTTGCCATCCTTGTTTGTTTTCTCTATAATAGGGAAATCGCTCCATGATAAACTGATAAATACCATTCAACGTGATGCGCCGCTCTGGTGCATTCTGTATTGCCATCGCAATAAGGGCTATGTACGAGTATGGCGGTTTGACCATGTCTTTCGGTGCCCCCACATGCTGCTGATGCGGGTGGAGGTACGGGGCTCCATAACCATAGCGATATTGTTCATAAGCGTATGGTGCGACGCCGGCTGAATATCCACCGGCCGCACCACCGCGGTACGCATATGGGCTTTGTTCACCGAAAAGAGCATGCATTTTGTAAGTTAAAGTTCACTGCGACGACATGCTCACACCGAAACCACTGAAACCTCGACGCGTTGCTCGTTCGGCAACAAAACGATGACTGACTGATTTTGTTTAGATTCACAACAAGGCCCGTTTACATAGCGGACGCTAAACGAGAGACGAATGAACGGTGTCGTGGGCGCTACCGCATAGCGTGACGTAGCACACCGGGGCCCCGCCTTGCAAATCCCCGTCTCGTTCCTACTGCCTACCAAAGAGCACACTGTCTCTCTCGTGTAGTCACAACGTGTTAAGCGGGGCGGAGCCAAAGGCACTGGGCCGCGGCCCGGGGCAGAACCCGTGTGCTAATGCGGTTCGGCCCAATTGTAATACCACTCACCCTATCTCAAGAGCCCCGAGCACTGTCACCCATTGTCGCCCACATCGATCAAATTCATTGTTCCATTGCTATACCATATTTTTGAAAATTCTATTTCCCAGTTGAAATAATTTTACCATAATAGCTTCCATGTCAAAGCAATTCTCCATTAATATCTATGTTAATACTTGATTCACATTTGCAATACGTAAACTAGATTCATTTTCTTCAGTAACTTTACTTGACTAGTTTGATAAGTGATACAATTTTGTGAAATTAATTTAGATACCTTTTAAATATGATTGAATTTTTTTGTGTCGCATAGATACCTTAGTAAGTATTTTTAATTTCATATTGTAATTAACATCACTTGTATTCCTGCAGTAAGCGGCTAAATGTACAATTTTTTGTTTAATCTTACGGAAGCTCAGAACCAAACTATTGGGCTTTTGTTTTTTCAACATCGTGTGAATGTTTTTACGTCACTACTTTAATATAGTGCACCAGAAGATCGTAATGCAATAATTAGTTCCTAGTTCCTAGTGTTCCTAGTTCCTACTGTTTCTAGTTCCTAGTGTTCCTAGTAATGTCCAACACTCGATATTCGATTACTAAAACTAGTGTTAAATTAATTAAGTTCATGCGTACCAGATGCGGTAAGTAGAGGCAAGGCATGACCCCCAGTAAAAGAAAAGATCTACTTAGAACCTGTCTACTGACGTCAAGACGGCCAAGCAAACCGGCTCAATCCTTATCGTCTGTTAGTTAGACACCACAACGGAAACATTTCGGCCAACTTGAATTCAAACATCAGCCGTTATTATTTAAAGAATAAGGCGTTCGGTGCGACGCGACTATGCAAGTGCTGTACCAAACTTACTGTTGCGTTGTGGTAAATGAGAGTGGACTGTATTTATTAGTTTTGATATCTTTATTAGTCCATATGTGAAAAATTAAAGATATATCGACGTGACTAAGCGACAATGCGTGAACTTTACAGTAGACTAATTTAAAGTTGAAATACCTGAAAATAAAATTTATTTTAACGAATCCAGCTGTAGTAGAATCTAGTTAGTAGCTGTAGGATTGAAATTATTTTAATAGACCTAGAAATATATTTGTTTTTGTGCATCGAATATGGTTATTGCCTATCATTTATGTATAAAGCAGTTACTGTCGCTTAGTCACTTTTGCCTTTCAAGCGTCGATATGAATATATGAAATCGATGTGTCGCATTTGGCGGCTAGAATTGAAAGGGGAAAAGTGTCATAGCGGGCGTCGCTCGTTGACACTTTTGGCGTTCCGAATTCAAACACTTACCTACCTAAAAATATGTAGGTACCTACTTAACGCATTTTCGCAAACGAAATCCACGATGTAGAAAGCAAATCGTTTAATAGAAAAACCTAACCGGTTTATGTGGGGCGGCATTTTTTTAAAATATAATCGAGACTTCGCCCTTGTGCTTCGAGCTGGATGACAGCATTCAGGTTGTAATATCTATCGGCTTTGCAAACACGGAATTGGGCGCTCGTTGACCAATGTACGAAAAAAACAAAATAATAAATAATAGTTAATAAAATAAAAAAAAGCGTGGAGTGCTTTTCAGGATATTAACAAAATAACCCTTTTACTCATATCTGTTCATAAAATATTTATAACTACTAATACCATGCATCCCACGATTTTTTTTACAATAAAATCATTTTTTCTTACACTATTTTGAATTCAAATTTATTAAATTGTATTTTCTATTTTTAAGTTGAATTTCAATTTTTTAAATTTTTTTAAAATATTGAATTGTCATCGGTCCTTAATAAGTATACCAAATTCCGAATTAATCCGACGTTTTGAAGGGGATCAATCATGTTCAAAGATTCCGTTACATACTAACATACATACGTCTGAAATTAATAAAAGCGTATTAAAAACATGCATGATATCGACATTTTTATATATTTACTGTAGGGTAAAATAGATGGACTGTATGGTATGGTATAAATGGATAGCTGTGCAAGACCACGCGGGCTCTCAGCACGATCCACCGCTAATAACTAATCCCACACTACTATTCTACTACTATCAAATACAAGGTTTTTAGAACGTTTTGTGAAATAATGTTCAAATTATGTTATTTAAATAAAATTTGTTAATTTATGTTCAAATGTTGATTTGTGTTTAGAAAATCATAAAAAAAAGGTTTATAATTTTCATCTAATCCTTTAGGTAACCTATTCTCATTAACTACGCCTCAGTACCGTTTAGCACCAGGAGAAAGGAGAACACCGGTGTCCAAAATAACTTAGAAAAAAAAAAACCTTTTAATATTTGCTTAATTATTTTGTCATTTTTATAGAAATATATATTATGTTATTTATATTCGACAATTTATTTTATTGCCGGAGAAATTTCAAATTCTACATATTAATCACTTGATTGTGTAAGTTTGAAAAAGGAATTTCGAATTAATTTTCATTTTGTTTCCGAGAAAAATCGTATTAAATCAATAAATTCTATCATTGGTTAGACACATTTATGTGAAATATACCTACTATTTCCTTATCCATAAAAGCGCACTAGGGCCCTCTATACTAATATATCGAGGTACTAATTTAAACAACATTTTTGCAAGCTTACAGGAGAGCCATTTAAAACTTAAAATTTGGAAAAAATTCATGACAAAACATCTTTTCAGTTATTGGAATGGGATAAACATAATTGAAGTTCAATTAAAAACATTAAACTGTTGATATTGATACCAAATAAAACCGACCCTTAATTTCAAAGATAAATGTCGTGTATTAACCGAAATGTCGCTTAAACCAAAACAGCCTTTCACCCCTCGATGTAGTTTTAGAAGTTGTCGTGGCTCAAAAGCAAAATCATTCTATGCCGACGTTCAAATCTCGAAAGCAGGTAGCATTATTTTTCTAATGACAAAGCCGTTGTGATCAAGAATATCCCTGAATAAAGGAATAACATCGTGATTGGTACACGACACGGTCATAGCAAGAAATTTATAAATTTACACAATTATTATGCTAGGCGTATTGTGAACCGTTATAAAATATAATTGAGATTGATACTTCAACCTCTTGTCTGGTACTGGCGGTGGGCCGTCTCGTGAACCCGCACGGGTCTATTTCTGCCGTGAAGCAGTATTGCGTTTCGGTTTCAAAGGCAGGACAGCCGTTGTACCATAAAAACTGAGAACTTATGTTTTAAGGTAGGTGGCGGCATTTACGTTGTTGATGTCTATGGGCTCAGGTAACCGCTTAACAGCAATTCGGTCGTGAGCTCGTCTGCCAATCAAAGCAGTAAAAAAACCTTTTTTACCTTTTATGTAATTAATGGAAAATTAACGAAGGAAATCAAAGGAATAAATATGATGTTTAAAAAAATGCATTAGGTATACTGTAAGTAAATCTGAATGTGGTATGGAAATGTTTAAATGCCCCTTTTTAATACTAGACCATTGTCTACTAGACCATGCAATAGTATTTATGAGTAAAAATACGGGCTAGCTACCTGGTTTATTGCCCAACCCACAGACATATAAAATCGAATCTCAAACTATAAAATGACTATTTATTCGAAACCCCTAAAACTGAAACGCATGAATTTGCCACTTCGTTGCCAAAATAGACAGGATGAATAATAGAGGTTAGTAATCATATATAGCTATGCTAATTTATTAATTAAAGATTGAACTTTTATGACATGATTCCGTCACCGTGCAAGTTCGTAAAACACGTGTTTCGTCATAAACTTAGTGTCTGCCCTCCGAATTTGAACCCAGGCATAGTCGCATCACTCAAGCCAGCGACCATAAAATATCTAGAAAAAGTTATATTTAAAAAAAATCAAACTAATATCCATAAGTATGGTTACTGATTATACTATATTAACAAAAAAAAATAATTGGACCGCATAGGACGATGCGCCTGCGCGGCCCTCTCCAAGCGGGAGTTAATCGTTTAGATAAACATAGGAAGTCGTTACCAAGGATTGTTGACACAAGGAAATGTGTGAAACGTTTTGTTTATCCGAACAAAAAAAGGGAAAGACGCGGATTAGATACTTGCAATTTAATTTCGACTATCTGTGAATAATTATAAATAACATTTATAAAGGAAACACTCCAACGTAAAGAAATTGAGGACTTTGATCAGTCACTGTAAAAAAAAGTAATTAATTTATATAGTACCTATCTGGTATACCTTTGTTCCATATGTCCGGTTGCTAGATTTTCTTCTCTTACTCCTTCTTTTTTTGCTATAACATTTGGCTTTATGCAATGCCTTTGATAACATCGTCGAGTTTATATAATCTTCAATTATTCTTATGTATAGATAGGTACTAATATTGTTTGTTGTGTGTGTTAAAAATAATATAGAGTGAAATCACTGGAAATTTATTTCTTAAAATTGTATAAATTGAAATGGAATGATACGAAATGTAATAAAATTTAAAAAAAAAACTCTCATGTAATAAAATTTATATAAAATCGTAGGAATATACTAAGTCATCCCTGGATTTTTTGGACGAACCTGAGAAACCACGTCCAGCTACTTTAATTTCTTGTTCCTAAGCCTATGTATGCATTTTCTTAAATTCTAAATATGTAGTTAATATACCACTATTGTTACC